AGCTCTTGCGAAGCCTGGTCGGAAGCCGCAGCGCCATCCCTCACGACCAACCGCTCCATCTCCGTATCGCCCCGCGTCGCCATCATGATCTGCAGAAATCCGCCATCCGCCACGGCCACGTCATTCTGGTACAACGACCAGATGCCAACGGCGGAGAAGAAGAGCGCGACGCCGACGGAGATGCTATACGGCAGGATAAGATTGAGCGGGTGCGAGAATTCGTACGTATTACGGTAGCGCGTCGTGGTTACGGGCGTCATTTGCCACCAGGTGCCGAGCGAGAGCGTGGAGAGGGTAATGTTGGTGAGCACTTCGTTCATGACGTCTTGGGTGATGTTGAAGTCCTGTCTTGGATCGATGTAGACGCTTCCCGTAGAGCTTCTCGGGACATAACTCGAGTTTACGTCGTCGCTAAAGCGGCCGTTCTGGAAGACTGAACCTTCTATGTCGCTCTTGCCTACGCCAGTTGGGTTAGCCGTGCTTCGGGTGCTAGTTGCGATGTCGTAATAGCATGCTTACCATTCTCCCAGCCATGTTTGACGAATGGACTACTATTCCAAGTGGTATAGTTCACCATCGTGCCGTTTTCTAGCGTGTGAGGCTTTAAACCGAGGTATGAGAGCCATTGAACATTTGACTCGTACCAAGTATACGACATGGTATTGTTGAATGCATCTAGCACAGCCCAGTTGCTATAGGTGGCAAGCGCTTCACTTGAATTTCGAATGTACTCCTGCAGATCTTGCGGATAGCTTTTGATGTCGTTGCGAGAGGGCGGGAATGGCCATGTCTCATCTCCTGTGCCATTCCATTGGTAGCTCCATGGAAAATTCCAGTCCTTGCGCAGGAGCGGCATTGGGTCACTTTTCACGATTTCGAGTGTTTGGACACCCTTTGGGTAGGTGACGTTGATGTCGTGGTTCATTGTGTAAGTATTGCAGACTATTGAGTTTCTTTCCACAATTGCCTCGAAATCTTCCGTTGTTTCGGAAGCATTTAGTGCAGTGAAGTACGCAAGAATCTGCGCATAGCGTCAGCTCAGTATTGCTCTCATGGAGTATACTAGTATAAAAATTCAGGAAGAGATACCCGACAGACTTTGGGGATCTATAAAGAAGTCTCTGAGTCCTAAATAATATGGGAATATAACCTTACCCGACTTTTGGTGACATTGAAAGAAGTCGCGTTCCTGTACGAGGAAGTGCCGTAACCGGACTGGAATACAAGGGCCGAGAGGCCATATTCGTAGCTATAATCCTGTTGGTAGATCAACGGGATGGTCTCGTTGTAGATAGAAGTATTACAAAACAGCTGTGGAGCCCGCAACTGGAGCCTATAAGTGGAATTCTCGCCAGTGTGAACAGGTAAATTGTACACCTGGCTGGAGACCAGGACAGATTTGGCCATGTTTATCAGCCACGGTTTCGGTCCACTGTGCGTGTCAGTATCGTCTTCTCAACTGGGACGTACCAGGTATCATACTAATAGTGGTAATCGAAAGTATGTGATCTGTTTCCGTCGATGCTAAACTGGTCTGCGGGAAACAGGAGACCCAGTGTGGAATATCTACCAGCTTCGAAGACCATTGGGTTGAAGCTCTCACTAGGACCGGGATTCCACACGGAGATGTTGACATTGTTTGTTATGGTATACGGCTGAAGGGTCACGGTGAGAGCGCCGGGCGGGTAGATTGTTGCGATGCCGATACACCAGACAGATAGAGCCATGAGGTAAAGCAATGGCGCTCTCAGAATACTTCGCAGGTCGGCTAGAGCGAAGACATTGGACCGGAGGAGGAAGAGCGTTTCCACCAGAGAGACGGCGGTCGCGCTGCCGCGGATGACGTGCCATAGGTACTGCGCAAACGAGATACCGACACCCACGGTGAAGGCCCCTTTGAAGATTGTGACAAGGAGGAGGGATATCGCAGAGACTTGAGACTGTCGGAGGTATCCATCGTCTGCAAGTGTGCCGTTGAGTGTGCGAAACAAGAGGTAATGTCCTGCGGCGGCCGCGATGCCTATGTTGACAGTTAGGATTGGCAAGATTTAGACGCACCAACGCACCTGTGAGTTGAACGCTTAAGATGACTGACGACGTTCTCCAGTGACGACTCCAACTGTTGCCACTCTTCGTTGACGTCGACAGGAAGTGCTTCTGCGAATCATCCTGGGCTGCGCGATTCATGGCACGAATGCGCCAAGGTTAGTGATCGACGGTCGCAAAGAATTGAGGCACAGGTTGCAAGATATCCCATTGGAGCTATTTGACCGCTTAACAAAGGTATTGATCTGGGGGCCAAATGCAAAAGCCGGCGCTATCGCCAGGACTTGGGGGCGCAGTGTTTCAAAATACGATGCCAAGCGCACAAGCAATGCGGTAACGCATCCTTTGAATCCTTCGTGTCATCCGTCCCATCTCACCTCATTGCGAAGCAACACAGCCAGGCCGCAACTTGACAAGCAAGTAATGTATCGCGGAGCCTGTCAAGGATCTGCTGAAATGGTGGGGAAGAGACGCCGATTTGAAGGCTACGATCGAAATCGTTGACGCGGACTGAGGAGCGATTCACGTGCGATTAATTTGGAATGTCGATGTTCGGAGCTAGCAGGGCGTTTCTCCGATGTGCGGTAGTCCGTCCCTGATGCGGGCGATAGTCCGACCGTGCGCATTGGAGATCTGGCCAATCAGGATCGCTCGGACGTCAGTGTAGACAAAAAACCAGAGACGCGAATGAATTTGTAAATATTGTGTTACAATTTCATTCTTCTCCAACGGAACCATACCAAACTTTCAACCAAGCAAACACTCACTCGCCCCGCTTGACCCCTCTACACGCTCTTCCCCATCGCTGTAGAGGGTACCTCCCTGTGATTTGATTAGCATACCTAGGTATTCAAGCGCAACGACATGCTATGCTTGCCTCTGGTGAAGGGGAACAGAGGTCGAGACGATAGCAAGGCCGAAGCCGTAAATAATGCGTCCAACGATCATCATCGCGATCCCGTTGTGTCCCTTCTCGCCAGTTTGGATGGCAGCACCGATGCCGGTCGTAAGCACGCCTGTCGCGGCAGCCACCCCTCCGGCCATATCGGTCTGCCAACGGGTGTGAAACAAAAAGGCAGCTCGGCCATGTTCCGACATAGTAGATAGACGTAATCAGGCCTGTTGTTGCTTTGGTGGGCTTGTGCAGAGGCTTGATGAATCCTGGATGCACGTAGAGGGTGGCCATGATACCGATATTATACCTAGACAGATGTCAGCATGAATCTGAGGTGAGTATACAACGCGTACCCCCATGCCAATGAAGCAAGACCGAAGAACAAGCGGACAACCAATGGGAGATAAGAAGCTTTTGTTGGCAAGCGGGCATGCGATGAAATTATTCCAGCGGCGGAGCAGGGCGACTAGAGAGAAGTGAAGAGTGATGGGTACTGTCAACATTTGCTGGCATAGCGATTGTCAGACGCAAGAGATAGAACGAGAATATAAGGTTGACCCATGCTGGAGCTGCCCCGCTCATCCCGTCGCGTGAGGCGCTCTGCATCTCATGGTTCCCCACGTTTTAAGTAAGACGACGAACGCCGACAATTTGGTCAGCGAATCACGACCGCTAGCTACCGGGAGTATGAAAGAGAATGGCCGTTCAAAATACTTGCTGTTCCAGACGCCACAAACCCGAAATTGGGCGGCCAGCGACCACCTGCAGCTTTTCAACTAGGAGAGACGTGGGTGCGTTCCTTTGAATGGACCGAAGGAGCGCCTCACCCCCAACACGATAGAGGAGCGCAGGTCGTATGATACCGGGCAAACGTCGTATTCATCGATTGCGACTTCGGCTTCGCGTCTCATTGGTGTGGCATTTGCCTCTGGCGCGAACCTGCATCGCTACTAGACTCCCACTTGAACTATTTTAGTATGAAGTCAGGCGTCGCCGAAGCCTTTTCGAAGGGTTGTTACCCAGAGCCGACAAAGCAGCATATCCGGGCCCTCAGTTACTGAGTAATTTTTCTCCGAAGAAGCCCTCGCGGAGCGAGGGCCTCCTAGCTTATGATAAAGAAACTCATACGATGGCTTTGCTCAGGCTACATCCACACATCTCGAAAATATACGGGTTCGTGCGTGCAGAACAGCGATCGCCGCTACTTGCGGTCACCGAGGGCAGTGCGAAGGGAGCGACTGCGAGAGCCACTGCTTTGATAGATTATACATGGAGTACTACGACCGCGACACACTGGAGAACGTCATGATTATATATAACAGCCGGGGTGCTCCAATCCCAGAAGCATTTATTTGGGTTGTTCTTGAAAGCGTGGTCAAGGCGCTCTGCTTCATGCATCGCGGAATTGCTCACCTCTACCTTGTCAAATTTCCCGAAGATAGCACGGAACCGAAGCGCTACGGCTGGTCGCCAATAACGCATGGTGATGTACACGACGGCAACACCTTTCTGGCTTCCTCAGCTGGAACATCTGTATATCCACGGAATCTCCTCAGAGATTTTGGCAACACTTCACATGACCCTGCCCCTCACACCCGAGTAAGGACGTATTCTGGTTGGTGTCAACGGCTACAGATCTGTGTTCTCTGGACGGGACTGTTAGAGGCGAGCTCAACCAGGCTTACTCGGCTGAGTTACGAGCGCTTTTACATATCACTATGAGAGACAACTGGACCAGCGATGACGGTGATGCTATCTAGAGCTTTTTTGGGAAAAAGTGAGAAAGGCAAAAGGTAGGGTACGTGACCGGCTTACGGTGGAGCCGCTAGTGCTAGTTTCGATGTTAGAAATGGGTGACATTGGGAAGTTCCCTAAAATCAAGTTTCAAAGAAGGCGCATATTGCTTAGATGTAGCTTTGCTTTCGATAGTCCCTTTAATTGAAAGATGCCACATATATTTAAGCCTTGCCGTCTGTACGTAGTCATTCTGTCCACCCCATTTTGAGCCCGCCACACCACACCCCTAGCCCTCGAAAATTATTGCAAAAGAAAAAATAACAGGCCTTCCCGGGAGTCGAACCCGGGGCCACCTGCATGCTAGAAACTTTAAGTCCCTAAGGAGTTATCGTACCGCTAGACCGCAAGGCCGTGAACTAATGAAGCGAGATTTTTTGGGGCTTATAAAATACATATTAAACAGAAAATATTGGTAGAAATAGGAGCTTTTGTCGCCTTTTCAAAATAGAGTGCAACGTCTAAAGCATCTTGGCCGCGAGAGATCTTTAGCAAGGCGCAAATCGCGGCGAGATTGTAAGACACGATGTTGGAAGGAAAGATTGTAGTGTTGATATCGAACGAACATTTTTGCGCACACGTTCTCCCCTTAAACACTCTTAATATAAATCGATTGGTTGCAAGACAATTTCTACTCATCTCATGGGCCCTCTCTTGTTGTACACTCCTTGAAGGCCGTCTCCCAATAGTTCTTTGTTCAAGAGTATACAATGCACTGATCACCTCTTCCAATGGCAACTCATAGGATACCACTTATTTCGCATACGAACTTCCTCATATAAAAACTGCATCATCGCCAGCATTCACAAAGTGTAGGCCAAAAAACAAGCTTCTATACGATGCGCAACCTTCGCCCGTAACCTTCTCCAGCTGCTATACAACAAGCTCGGCATTATCTTCCTCCAATTCAACTTCTTTATCCTACGTATACGATGGCTACACTTTAATACGTGCTCTCAATCCATCCACCGTCCGCCCATGCACAGGCGAAAACAGCACTAGCCTCCTCCTCACCCAACGCACCCTCACGACCTCACCCTCTGCAAATATATATATACTCCCCTTCATCCACACCCCCCTAACCCTAACACCCACACCCAAACCCCGTCCAATTCCATGCGTTAGCGCGTGCGCAGTACGCTAGACCGTACACTCCATACTGCTCCGACTGGACGCTACAGGACATCACATCACTAGGTAAGAAAGGAAGCAGGTGCCCAAGGTAGGCAGCGACGCAAGGCCCCCGAGGCCCTCATAAGGCATGTGTTGGCTTCTTTGCTCAAAGCGCTGTGTCGGGTGCATTTGGGCGTGCTGGGTGCTGGATTACCTAGCTACCGATAGTGGTGAGTGGGTACCTGAGGTACCTATAACACACAACGCTATCTACCCCGACAACATCATACCAACGACCTCATCCAGCGCATTCCAGGATCCTTCCCCTCTTCGCTCCCCCGGCCGTCACACGCCAGCCGCAGTCCCAGATCCGGTACGATCACGCGCGTCGCCCTCCTCGTACCCGCGCGTTCTTTAGTAGACTTCGGACTGAGGGATTGCGTTGGTGCAAGCCGCACGGAGAACGTGATATCGAGCATAGACGAACCTTCGGAATGGGAGGACATCGCAGTCCTGGTACGCGGTGTCATGGTACCGCTTTGTCAGGCCGATGAGCTCGCGCCAGGGACAGGGCTGGGTACGTACTCGGCGGAACAGCAGACGGTCGTTGTTGGGCGGTACGGGACCAATGCTGGAAGAGGTTGAGGGGGCGAGGGAGGGGTTGAAGGGAAAGGGTGGATTGGTGGTTGAGGAGTTGCTGATGGCGGTGGGTGGATCGTGAAAACTTGGAATTTTTCATTTGGTTCTGTGTCTTTGGTCTACTCGGCACCTCTTCCCCGAGGTGGCATCGTTTACAACAACGGTAGATAAATATGCGTCATGGTGTGAGCGGAACACAATGACGCGAGACGAAAGTCTCCACACACATATCTCAATGCCGACTATTACACTAAGCCAGCGTGTCCCTGTGCCACTCTCTCCAGCTCAATTCGGACTGTTTTTACAATGCCACACTTAGTCACTGCATTCGTTTCCGCCTCTGGTGCCGCACCATCACCTGCGTGACTTCTCCCATGGCCATTGTATTCTTTCCGCCTACTCTCATTCAACCTACCCGCTCTCCCCACAGTAGGTACCGCCTTCCTTGCGCACACTTCATTCTTTCTGTCCTCCAGCTCGATCCATGGTCCGCAGCGCAAATGTCTAGTCTGTGGCCAGCTCCCATTGCTTCCCGAGTTGCGCGGTCCGGACAGCGTGCGTGAGGTCGTTGTGGTGGTGCTGAGTTTACGCGGTTTGCGGATGAGGGGCGGTAGGGCGGGGAGGCAGGAGCATATAACACCTGTCGTTATTTCTGCAGTGCTAGGGTAATGTTAGCGATATCTGGGAGATAGAGGGGAGACGCACGCCCAGAGCAGAATCTGCGGATCATTGTACGTCGAGTCTGCACTTTTTGCCGTCCTGACTCTGCACGAGAAGCCCAGTGCGCTGAAGATGGGAGCTCTACGCCTATCAGTCCACGTATGCCAAATTAGTCTCAAGACACGGTACTCACACCGCTCCAATAGTGAACACCGCACAGACAGCGACCTTCTTCCCAACACTCATCTTCAGCTTCCAGCACGCCTTGATCGGCACCAGCAGAATAAGCCCGTCGCTAATCGTGTTGAACAGCCCGCTGACTTGCAGCAGGACCGGGAGGTTGATGCATGCCCCCGGAATCTGCTTCTTCCAGGCTCTTTCCATTGGATGGCACTGCCAGATCTTGACTAGCGTGAGGGAGACGTAAAACGATGCTGCTATCCCGATGAAGATGTGAATAGTAGTCCAGAGTGGGGACCATCGTGTCGGGACGAGCAGACGGAGGTAGAGGAGAAGGATGCTGTACTTGGTGAAGAAGATAAAGGGACCATAGATGATAGTTTCGATCCAGAAGTACTAGAGATGTTGCGATCAGGCGATTGAATAAAGAGAAGATGGTGAAGAATGAGATGCTTACATATAATGCCGGCTCAGCCTGGTCTTGAGTAAGGTCCCAAAGATGAACACCACCATTGCGTTCCATCATCACTCCCATTAGGGCACTATACACGGTAAGCCCGAACTTGAGGGCATTAGTAATGTTCGCCAAGCTACAGGGTCGCCAGAACTTACAAACGACAATGTCACCATCCCTACCCAGGGTTAGAGCCATGTCAAGTGCGTGAACAGGAAGGCAGCTCTTACAGTCTTCTAGTGCCCATGACCTCGGCATCCGACTGAAACCCAGCCGCACGTAGCATCGCAAGAAGAACAAGGTGCCAGCGACAGTCATGCAGACCGTCTGCGCTATGATGTTGAACTCCCAAAGGACATTCTGTGGGTCTTCCAGGTGTGATTGAGACCCTGGGGGAGCCGAGATTGCCGGCTTGATGGTGGCGGAGACACTCGGTGTGAATGAGCCATAGAAGGAATCCACGTCTGTTGGTTGGTTCATTGTTCTGGTGTGGTTGGTGTCACCGTTCTATATTGCAGGACGATGTGATTGGTCGCTCTGGGCGGGAAGGAGCCACTGCGGCAGCGGCCAAACGCGCAATATCGTGCCAGAACCTGGAGAAAGTGGGGTCAGTGGAAAGAGTTATACTCAGCTGCATAATATATATGCCATACATGTAAAAAAAAGGCAATACGCGTAGCAAACGCACTCGCCGGTCTCGATATTGAAGCTGAACTCGTCGTATTCTGTGCGCATAGCCAAGCCCGGCTGAAAAGACTTGGTCTTGCGCCAAAGATAGCAGAAGAATCTAGTGTATATAAGTGAGACAGCTGACTAGCTGGAGAAAGAGTGATATGGCAGAACCCCGAACAGTGCGCCTTTGTGGACGAGTGTGGGGAACGGGGCACGAAGCTCGCATCACACTCACAACAACGCCACTCGTGCCACTAATCTCTGCGGCACGATAAGCCTTCGTTCAAAGCCCGAAACTGTGCCCAGTAGGGAAAGTCCGACGAATCAGCAGGGCCAGGCAGCATTGGTGCCTGGCTGGGACTGGTCGAGTGAAGTCGGCAGGGCAACCTCATCTCCGCCTCCTACCGGTTGTTAACCTACAACCTCCCCACACCGCAACACTTCTATCCGTACTTAAACCAGCTGCGCTCCCTCCCCCGAGCTCCAAGTTCGACGCCAGGTGTCGAGGTGTTTTTGGCTAGCATTTATCCGGATTTGCTCGAGCTGGTCGGGAGCAAAGCGATGGAGGACACGAGCGGTGCGTCTTGCCGACCCTTGAACGAGCCACACGTGTAGGCCACTGCTCATGTCAGCTTTTGTGTACAGCTAAAACTGCGTTGAGCACTGCTACTCCCGTTGGCGGGGAACACTCACCGGCCACTCCAGATTACAGCGACATTGAAGAGACGAAGTTGATGCGCAAGATTGACGTCAGACTGCTCCCTATCCTGTTCGTGATCTACGTAGCAGCTTTTTTGGACAGGTACATTTGATACCCCATGGGATGAGAGGAGCTGACTCAGGTGGCTAGGGTCAACATCTCCAATGCCCTCACCATGGGCTTGCAGAAAGATCTACACCTCACCGGAAACCAGCCAAACGTAGCGCTGGCCATCTTCTTCATACCCTATGTAGTTTTCGAAATCCCGTCCAATATCCTTTTGAAGCGACTCACCCCCCGCGTCTGGTGTAAGTGCATAACTCCACCTACTCACCGATTGCCACTAATAGCTTCAGTGTCCGGATGCACGGTGGGATTCGGCGTTGCAATGCTGGCCCAGGGCTTCGGTACGTGTGCGCGCGGCAGCGTACCACATTGCTAACTCGGTGCAGTCAAGAACTACGCTGGTCTGCTGACGACTCGGTTTGTACTGGGTCTGGCCGAGACGGGCATGTTCCCCGGGAGCAAGTGCAAGCCGTACATCAACTCCGGTCGATACTGACCCAACCACCAGGTTTTTATCTAATCAGCTTCTGGTACAACCAGCACGAGTCCCAAAAGCGCTTTAGCTTCTACTGGTGTTCGGTTCTGGTCGCGGGCGCTTTCGGCGGTCTCCTTGCGAGCGGTATTGCGAAAATGGACGGCGTGAGTGGCTTGCACAATTGGCGATGGGTCTTCATCCTTGAAGGGTTGGGGACCGTCGTGCTCGGAATCATCTCCTACTTTCTGATCTCCGACTTTCCAGAGCGGGCAAAATGGCTGACCGAGAGAGAGCGCGCCTTCGTCAAGCATCGCACGGGCCACGACAAATTTGTTCAGCGTTCGGTCAGCACCAGGGACATTTTGTGGTTCTTCAAGAGCCCGAGGAGGGTCCTA